TGAGCTGCCTCAAAACATCAAAATTGCTCATAAACATTGAACAGCAGAATGAAMGGATACTTAACAGCAGTGAAGAAACAAAATGGAGTTATTCCAGTAAGGGACGCATCAATTTATTAAAACACAYGATTCATATTCCTTTGCTAGCATAATTTGTAAAGGGTTTACAGATCACCCCAGACACTTCAAAAAACATGAATATTCTAGAAAGCAAAAGACTTCTCTACTTTCAAGTATAGTACTAATGCTTTGCTTTCACACACTGCAGTACTGGCACTTGTGTTCACATTAACAGCAAAACCATCTTACATCTTATTAAATCACAAGAGCAAAGAAGCCTTGAGTGGTAACTGCATAAAAATTCATTTGATATTAAGGGATACCCTTCTAATTAATTAAAGCTTCGTTTGGTGGCTAAATTGTTCCCAGTGTACCAACTACAAAAACTTCTACCTAGTTTTGATTTTTTTCTTTTAATTGAGTAGCATGCAACCAAAAGCAAAGCAAGATAAGGCTGAAGAAGAAATCTGCCTAGCAAAATGAAAACACTAGTCTGAATGTCAGTAATAGATGCAGTAACTTTGCCCAGTAAACTTTAGAAACCTCACACTCAAACTCCTAAGGAGTTTCTGAGACAATCGGGGGAAACCTTAAGTTATAATCCATCCTTCAAGCTGGAGGATACAACACCGTTAAAATACAACAAAGGACAACTAAACTAAAGCATGCCTTTAACACAAAAAACATGAATAATACCTAATGTATGTCTGTATATTATCAATCTTCAAAGACCTTGCCTTTCAGAAATAGTTGAGGCAGAGTCATGATCCACTAAAAAAGACTTATAGGAAGAAGAAAAACTTAGGGAAGAGAAAGCCATTAAGGCCACTGAGAGCACAGACACCACACTGACCCTGAGCTGAAAACAGGGGTGAGGAGAATCCCCCAAGTTCATTTTTGCCACTTTATTCTCTTTTTTAATTGCCACTGTCAGAAACAGGCTATTGGATTTTTGGTGTGACCCAGTTAGAGCTGCTCTGATATTTTCAGTCTCAAGTATCTATTAAAAACATACATGCAGTGCCTCCTGCTTAAGGCAGTTGTGTTTATACAGTCGCTCTAATCAGGAATAAGTCCGAGCTGCTGCCAGAGATGGACTTCTTAAGGCAAGGTAAGCAGCACTACAAATACAGCTTTCCTTGGACAGGGAGGGAACCTCAGAGGATACAAACCCCCACATGCAAGGATGTGCAGTGAAGAACAGCAAGGAATCTTGTGAATCCTTGATTTCTGCAAAGAGAATGGAAGTACGGGTGGCATAACAAAAAAATTCCATTTCAACACGCCAGAAAGCTCACTTTGGATACTTATCTTAAAAAGCTTTCTGGCATACACTGGAGCCATATTTATTCTGAACTATGTCTAATCAACACCAAGATTACCTTTATTAGCTGAGCATAAGCAGAGGCAGCAATTTTTAATTATTTTTTTCTCAAAATCAGCCTCTACTCTGTAGTGAACTGCTAACATTAATTAAGGGTGACTGGTAATTGCACAGTCATAAAGGCATAGATCTGTTCATGTTTTGGTACGGAACACCTCCTACAATTACTGATGATCCATTCTCTCTGATGTTCTGGGGGAACACAACCCCTTTGCACACAATAAAGCAGAACACTTCTATGCTTGCTTTGCCCAAAAGTAGTACAAACTTCCTTACAGATTATTGGTCATAACTAACTTATGAGAAATTTGCAGTCTGAATACTAAACAAAATCTGATCTCATCACGAGCTCTTTAGTTCACTGTCATCTTAAGAGCAGGGTCAGAGACCAATGCAGAGATGCCTGTGCAGATTTAACTGCCAGTCAGCCTCTGCCTGGGTGCCTCGGCTGGAAGAGCAGAGGCTCACCCAAGCCTTCCTTCCCATCAGTGGGCAGCTCAGCACATGAGAAATGCTCAGAGAGACCACTCTGCCCACGGAAGTTCAGAGTGGAGAAATGCAGTGTATACAGCTCTCACCATGAAATGATTTTACTAAAAAATAAATACATGAAAGAGACAAAAATGACATGACAAAAAGCAGAAGTTTTGTGTTTGCCTATTAAAATAAAAACCACAGTCTAAAGAAGTTCTGTGAACAGCCTTAAAGGAGTAACACTTGAAAATATACCCGCAGAAAATATGAGCAGCGGGCCATGTCACASTTCATACACAGAGAGCTGCTGACGGAACAACTTCTGAAGCACTAACTGCACAAAAGGTTACAGAGCAAATGAAAAACACTGACAACAATCTGATACCAACTTAACATGGATATTAAATAGATTTACAGAGTTCAAACAAGACACAAGCAGCACCTTGTGACAGAGGCAAAGATTTTATGCAAATGACAGCATTAAGTTATGTATACTTGATATACAAAATATTAACCTGGTTTTATTTCCCTGAAAGAAGCAACCAGCAATAAGCCTGAAGAGAAGTAGCAAATGAATCCTGCTGTGAGAGCCAAAACAGAGAAGCTTAAATGAAGTGAAAATTGAATTCAGTTACAGACTTCCAAAAATGGGCATCACAAAGGCAGAAAATCTGACAACTAAAACAAATTCTGTGAGCAAACAGCAGGAGCAGATAGATCAGAAATGAAAGCACATGATTTCCACGTAATCTCAGAATATATTAATTGACTTTTCCTAGGTTTTCATTGCTAGAAGCGAATTAGTGCTAGAAAAAAAAAAGTATGTTCCTATTACAGGAAAAGAACTAAATATTGAGAAATAATAGGTTCAGACAAATACAAATATATGGCACTTGTTTGAAAATTGCAATACTGATAAAAATGCTAAAATGGACCACAAAAAAACCTGCATTAAAACTWTGAAAAGCAAAAATGCCGAGCATTCTTAATTATTACATCAAAATCCCTAAGCTATTACAGAAAAATACAAGTACAAAGACACTAATCAGTTTGGTTTATAGAACCTTGGTTTCACATGAGATATTGTCCAGAAGTGCAAGTAAAAAAATATTAAATCACATTTTAAATGCATTCTCTTTCCTTTTACAGGGTTCTTTTAGTTTGTTTTTTTTTTAGTATTTTTATCAACAGTAGAATTTTCAAGGTTGCCCAAGCAATGCATACTCTTGAAATCATGGCTCAGATAATTTATGCCTGTTTGCACCCCARGCCTTCAAACACTCTTGCCTATTCCTTTACTATTTGCATATCATTTCTTCCCTCCTTAGACTGTGCTGTGAGCTTTTTCTCCTGCCTGCAGGCTGGGCACATGTTAAGCATGTGTGTGTCTGTGCATATGTGCCACATGTATGTGCACACAAACATACAGACATGTATTCACCACACATCCATGTACAAATTCTCCACTTCTCAAAAYAATTCCTTTGTAGCTGAATTCCAAAGGTTTCTTCATACAAACACAGACCATTTATTTTTTGTATTTAATCTGTAGAAGACTTGTGTCAATATCTCTTTTGAAATAGATAAAAGGCATCAAAGTCAATTACACACACACACACACACACACACACACAGACACACAGAGTGTCATCAAATATCAAAGCAATTGCCCATTCCTTTTCATTTGACTTTTGCAAATATCAATAACTCTAAGTCAAATATACTACACAAAGTATATTGTACATTCTGTACCACAGTAAAACCAGAAAATAGACTCCAGATGTTTCCTCAATTCCTGCCAAAAACCAAATTTGAAAAAGTGCTGAAAACCAACGTTGGAAGCACTAATGTAGGRAAAAAAGACACAAGGAATCTGTGGCATTGTTAGAAGTAAATTTGTTCTGTCTTCACCTACTAGGTAAGAAGGGTCAATCCTAAATAGGTGTAAACACAGAAACCATGAAGAACAAAAGTTCTCATTTCCTTCCTGTGTATTACTTCTTTAAAATTACATGTCAGACTTTCCAGATTTGAGACAAAAAAATTTCAACAACTTTCACTCATTTGGGATACTTGATTCCTCTGGGAGTTAAAGAGACTTAGCTTTTAGCTACACTAAAAGTAGTAATATTAGTAAAAGTAGTAATATTACTAAAAATAATATTGASAATGGGATTTGGCACCTAATTTTCCTAATTTGTAATTTTCTCATGTTAGTCAGCACCAAAACAAACTGACACTGCCTAAGACCTGTGCCACTGAAATGCAAAGGAGCTTTGCTTAAGCAATCCTTCGGAGTAGGAACAACTGTTGGCTTTGCACTGCACAGGCTGGAGAGGGTTTTGGGCCCATTGGTTCTCCTCYGAGCACCAAAACCAAGAGCTGCAGCACAGCAGCTTACTAAAACCACACAGCACTGTCAAAACCAATTGKCTGGGGAGGGTCTTGAGGTGCAACTCATCTGGCTCCCACATCCTGTAAGGCCTCTGACCTGATCCAAGMAGAAGAGGGTAAGAAACATTTCTAGAGGCAACTAGAACTATCTTATTTATTTCAGGATGAAAAATTTTCTTTCAGGATGTGACCATGTTCTCCCACAAACTCAGTGTCAGTCTAGGCAACTAGTTTAGCCTTCATCTGCTGCTCTGATGGGGACAGCAGGAATGCAAGTTCCAGTGCAAAATACTGCTTGTGTCAAAAGGCACTCTTGAAAAATCAAGTGAATAAAAAAATGATTGGATTCATCATTGATTTCATATACCCTTTTCCCCTGTAAAACTTGCTACAGGATATTCTTTAATGGACTGCTTAATACCAACAATACCAACAGATATTTTTAACTTAGGAGTAATGAACAAAATAATGGAGAATTTGAAACACATGACTTTCTGCCAGGTCTCTTATTTTTCAGAAGGATACATTACAGCCCTCCATCAGAGCCCACTCAGTCCTGTACTTTATCATACAGTCTGTTGGACCAATAGAGTCATGAGAAAATGCAATTGCTTACAAAAGCACAGCTTAGACTGGACTCGTCAGGATACAATGGATTGTGAAGGGGGAACACAAGCAGACATTTTACCTGCATAGCACTCTTGCCCAGCTTAACCACTTCAAACAAAGTGACAGGGTCCCCTTCTCCATTCTGCTGCGGGTGGCCATTGGCTCTCCCACGACTTGCTCCTCGAGCTCCGGTGTCAGTACGTCCCTTGTCCGCTGGAGACTTCCGGGGTTTCTTAGTGGCAGACTGGGCAAAGAAAACCAGCAGAGTGAAAGTTTATTATAGCTACATCTGAAATCCCCAGCCCTTCTTTATAAATCATACATAAATATTACATAGTTACACCTCACACACATATATACACACAASGATCAGGGGATGAGCCAGGCTGGAAGGCATCTGCAGGTATCCAGCCCGACCTCCTGCTCAAAGCAGCGTCAGCCAGGAAATCCAACCAGGCTGCTCAGGACTTTAGCCGGTCAGGTACATATAATTTTATTTATTGGTAGTTGCTGAGGAACTAYAGAAAAGCTACTGCCCCACCAAGATAAGTAGTGGTGAGCTCCCAGTGCTGGAGTACCAGCTCGTGTCAGTCCCTGTTTTAGTCTTAGGCAACACAGGGCTTTAGAATAAGTAATGATCTTTCTAAGACACTAAGTTATTAAAAATACATTTGCCATATTAACATTTTCTGTATTCTCATTTTTCTACAACTTTTATAAGAAACTGTGTACATAGTCAGCTCTTTAACACTAATCACCAGATTTATACAGCCAGATGTAGATCACCATAACAGCCCCTTGCTTCAAAAGTTTGAGTTAAAACACTTCTTCCCTTTGAGTCTAAATTATTTAATGTAAGTTTTCTCTAGATTCTTCAATGTTTTAATCAAGTGGTATAGATACCACCTGTAAAGATTCACCCACCAACAGTTTGCTCTGAGGCTTAGTCACTTGTGAAACAGAAACAAAAAAAACTCTAGGGAAAACAACATCAGATTTTTTACTTCCATATTCTATTCTTTCTCCCTACTGTGAGGCAGACAAAAGCAAAAGYTGCTGTTTTCCACAGAACATAAAACTATTTTGATGAATTATGTTAAAACAACATATGTGCAACTCAAATATTACACTTAGGACAATACCCTCATGACATTTACTTGAGTATACTGGCAGTCAGGTTTCTACTAAAGCTTTTAGTAAACAACAAAGTCAATGTTTTCAGTGTGCAGACACACTGAGAATTTTACTGCAGAGGAAAGGGATCTAATTTCTAGCAGAGAGCTGGTAGAAGACAACCCTGCAGCCCAGCTTTCCCCATGCTTTAAAAGGGATCAGTGCCATAAAAGGGGAGGGGGCCAGAGAGCTGAAGGAAAGGGCAAGGTAGAGTGCAACTGCCTCTCGCAAATATTCAATTAAGGACTTGCATAAAAGTGCAAGCTGGAAACCATAAAATAATAGGACAATTTCTGTGAAGTGTTTTGGATAACATTTGCACTTAGGATAAAAGGCTGTCGCCCTCAATTTTTAAATATATGCAAAGCTGCCTGTAAAGCAAGAATATTATCCACATATGAAATGCTCCAAGTTCCACTGAGCCCCAAAGAGACACATGATCACTATTTAATAAAAAGGGACAGAATTAGAAGTAAACTGACTCTTTTGAGAGATATAATCCATGCACTTACTCAATCTGAATGACAGTAAGCACTTCACCTAGCTACAAGGACTACTAAATGAAAACTTGAATGCAAATTGATGCCCTCCACAGAAGCTAATGTAAGCCCCCTCTACATTCAGTTTTTCTCAACCTGTAATTGAAAGGGAGGCATTAAACACYGCAAGGATGAAGGGAAAGGAAGTAAGAGATGGATGTGAAATGCTTATGTCCAAAGCTACCTTGTTAATGGAAGCAGTGAGAAAAGCCACCTGCTTGAGTACGTGAACATAAGTACTATGGACACAGGCCTAAAATGTGTAATCACTAGACATCTAAATGCCCGGTTTAAATTCCCTTTGTCAGGTAACCTGAGAAAAGAGAGGTGCTTTGACCAAGGCTCCTGTTTGAATTAGAAGGGTGAGATCACCACTGAGCTCTCAGAAAAGGTACAGAAATAATTGATGTCAGATATACCTCTGACAAATTATCGAATATAGACAGATTCTTCAAGCCCAAGTAAACACCTCAGCGTCCTGGCCCTCAGTTAACACCAGATATATTACTGAGTCTACTCGAATAAAATTTCTCTGATGTAGATTTTCTTTTGACAATGAGAACATCTCTCACAGCAGAGAAAACAAGTTTTACATATAACAAAAGCCATTCTGTACCCAAGCTGGRGTAGCTAAATCCAGATGCAGGATCTGTCCTGTATCCTGCCTCAAAAGACAAACAAGTAGACAAGATCCTCCACTAGAAACCAAAGAAAATCCAAAATGTGAACTTTCTGAGCTAGGCAAGGATTAACAYTGTCTTCAGGTGGAGAGGCAACTAGGGAAAGGGCATCCACCCCTCAGCACTTCCACCCAGCAGGCAYCGGGCAGGAAGCCCAAGCTCAATCCCACTCCAGAGTGTGAATACAAAAGCAAGTCACACAGCTCCTCCGGCAACTGCCTGGTGCGCTAAAGTTTTGCAAGCACAAAGCACATTCCCTTAGTCATTAACACATCACATTACAATGCTACTGTCAAACATKATTTACACAGTGTCTCCAAATTTGCAGCAAGAAACCCTGCAGGCCATGTTAACAGGTTTGAGTTTCACACAGGTTCCTGTCTCTGAACACAGAGTTCAGTAGGAAAACCTACTTCAAAGAGAATCAAAGAGACCAACCAGCCATCAGGATAATCTCCCCAGCRAAGCTGGGGACTCCTCAACATTGGGCACTTCAAATTCAGCTGGACAGGGCGCTGGGGCCTTTTCTAGATTGTGCTTTTGCCAGACAAGGTTGAACCAAATGATCTGTGAGTCCCTTCCACCTGGTATTCGATGATTCTATCCCAGGATGGAGACATCCACCACCACCAGAGCACATGAAGGAAAAGCAAGGACTGGTACATTTGACAGAAACATAAAGACTCATTCATGATACAGAGTACCTGTGGCTTATCTCCAGAGGAAGGGTGCTCTTTGAAGTGCAGTTGTGAAAGCTAAAATCTAAAAATTACATTTGGTACTGAAGATTCCAGGCACAGGTAACCCCACATCCCAGAAAAGACACATGCACTCACAGGAAAGGGTGATCCTTCTACAAAAAAAAAAAAACCCCATTCTCTAATGCCGTGAAGAGCTTCCACAYAACAACAGCGCTGCTTGAGGATGACTGTGGCCCCAGTAAACCTGTCAGACTATCACTGACAGGTGTAGAATGACATGTTTCATAGGATCAGACTGAATTTGTAGCAGGTCTGCTCCTGTGGATATACCAAATGCTCAAGATACAGGAAAAACAGAACCTCTGCATCCCAGCAGGAACAGCAGTTGAGGTTATTGCATGCCACTTTACACCTTTCAGCCAGAAAGATCCCACCTGAATCGGGTGAATTAGGACTGCCAGAGGGAGGGATAAAGCAACATGACAAGGTAAGAATGCTTGAGGCTTTTTAATCCCACACCAATAAAGGTGCCACTGGAAGCTGGAAGTCTGCAGCAGTTGCATTTGTGCTTTCACTCTGAAACCCAGGACAGCTGGGCTGGTGTAGTGTCAAAATGGACTGAGGTGCCAAATGAAAACAGAAATTACTGATGAGTTTATAGATCTGTGATGATTTTTCAGATCTGTGATGACGAAAGTTGAGGACTTATATACACCACCATTAGGAAATTCAGAAGTTCCAGAATTTATCACTGAAGCAACTCTAAAATGGCCATACTGATGGTCACATACCTTACCTGCTGCTTTAAGGCTTAAACGCAAGCAAACAGGAAACAAAATACTCACATTGACTGCAGTTAAACTAAAATGATGACAGTTCAGGCTTTTGTAACAAATTAGCKACACAATACTTTCACATCTTCAAAATTATTGTGAAGGAAAAAAAGTAACCCACATTTGTAAAATCAAGTAATATAGTGGAAGTTAATTCACACACTACCAGAAAAAGTGGCGGAAGTCACTCGACATTTTCCACTAACCTCCCCAAGTTGATCTGATGCATTTTACGAAGAAATAAAGGCAGCAAAGCGCTACAAGTCAGTAACCCCACCTAATGTCCCACTTGAAAACGATGGCCTGTATGTGCAGTCACACTGTGAGTCATTTAGAGGAACAAATACCTCATTTCCCAAGGAAGGTGAAAGAAGTTTTTTAACCTCCACTTGAGTAGGACTGAAGAACTTGCCTCTCCAAGGCACAGCCTCTTGAGAGACCTCTGCACTATAATTTCATGTTAAGTGGAAGAATGGTAATGCCTGAGGTCCTTCTGAATTAATCCTGATTAGAAAAGGACCATGTCACATTTCATACCGCCATCACGGTTATCAAGGGAGAAGGTTCTTGGATTCCAACAGCCAGTCCTTTGGATTGCTTTGCTCATACAAACAGTGTGCTCCCTGTGAAAATCCTCATCCGGCAAATAAAGATAGATGAACGTCCCCTAACACCCACTGCATCCAAAGCTGCTTCAGCTGCACCATCAGCTGCTTGAAGTTCAGGACAAAAAAAGCAGAGGCAATGATGGGGAGTGAGGGAGCTATTTTTGAACCTTATTTGAAAATCTATCAAGATTTTGAAACCAAAACTGTACTGGCTCTGCTGGGGACAAAAGGATCAGAAGTACCTTGTTCTATCTTGCTGTAAGTGGAGAAAGACATGCCGTGGATCTGAGTATGGGAAGAGAGAGAAACCAGCAGACATCTCCATATTGCCACCTCTGAACAGACAAACTGATGTTTCTCCCTGTCCTCTGAATTGGAGATTAAATCTCTCTACTCCTACTTTGAATCTGAAATAGAGCCAGGGACCTCTCTCACAACCTCCAACAGCTGAGGTCTAAGCCAAGCTACTCTGAGCTCTTGGGAAGGTGAGACCAGGTAGCTTAAAATAAAGTATGCCAACAATGCTAGACAGTATTGAGCCAAGAGACAAGACAAAAATGGATGGATAAATAACTGACCTGAGCCTGAGCTCAGTACTGTGAACACTACATAGCATTAGCCATTGGGCCTTCAAATCCCCTACGCAGAACAGGAAAGCTCATCCAGACTCATGTACTTCAATAATGCAGCAGACACAGACAGCACTTTGGCCAATGCTACACAGGAACTTCAAGGAGAGGAYCATGATAGGTCACTCCTTAAACAGACCCCATGGAATTCATTAAATACATAGTCAGAGATGGTATCCTCACATACAGTATCACAAACACGAGTTCCACAATATCCCACTGGCTGGACAGGCTCAGCTCTTGGCCAGTCTCTCCACAGGCATTCTGTCTACAAGACTCAGCGTTTAGAAGGGTACATGGCTAATGACCAGCCCCAGCAACCAGAGCAGGACATGGTGCAACCCCTACTAAACTCACAGCAAGGGCTAGGGAATTCAGGACAATAAGGTTAGATTCTGAGAGCTAKTTCACAAGACCAATGCACTTAATCTCTTTGCAAATTTGCTGTCTAGCTACTYGGTCAAGTATTCATTAGAACAGTGAAGAGAAGAAGAAGGGCTACTTGCAAAGCAGTGTTTTAGAATGAAATTGCTTGCATTGAAAGGAAATCTTAAAAAACAACCAGTTCCAAGTCTTTTAGAAAGTGAAGGKACCCCCAAAACATTACAGTTCTCCATGAACTGAAGAGATACTTGTACAAAAGGCAATTTTTCAAATGAGCACCATCTTCTTAGAAAGAAGAATGTCTTTTTTGGAAAACAGTCTGGAAAATCCTCTTGTAGTAGTGTATCTTCTTGATGTAAGGTCAAGTCCCTTCTGTGACACTCAGCAGAAACCTGTTTAAAATACAGCCGTTTAATGGAATATGCAGCTCTGTTATAGGACCATGCGGCACCAAGTGAAGCCCCTTTCCAAAAGAGCTCAGTATGTTTATGGCAGATGTGCCACTGTGGCTGTGATAGGCTAAGGACATCAGCAAATGGGCATTTGCAGGAAGAGATCAAATCTGATGAGACCATAATATTTTAGATGGAAAAAAAATCCCAGCCACAAAGACCAGAAGAGCCTTTGGACTACCTTTCTTTAGGTCTATAACAGAAATGAAAATCATCTAAACTAAATCTCAGTTGAGCAAAAMACTTCTGAATTTAACTAAATCTTTCAATCTGTTTCACATCTGACAGTAATAGTAGGTGGTAGCTGTGACAGAGACAAAAATCAGTAGTGAAGAGTTGGAGGGGGAAAATGTCAGAGCTGCACCTCCTGTAAGAAGCAGGCAATTTGCCTGAGGGAAGTGGCTGGGCTAGCAACAAGGTTTGCTAAAGCAATGCAATTACCAAGTCCCTGGCTTTCAACATCAAATAACACTATAAATTCAATTGCCTAGATTAGCCTTTCCAAGGTGTTTGCACTTCTCCTCTAGGATACTAGACACTGAGTGGCTTTTTGCTTTTGGGGCATTTTTTTAGGTAGAAGAACCAAGAGAGAAAATTATCATGCAGTAAAATGGAACAGGCACCTGAGAGAGGCTGTGCAGCCTCCAGCCTCAGTGGTTTTCAAGACCAGACTGGAAAAGACATGAGTACTGTGGTCTGATCCCAAAGTTGACCCCACTCTAAGTAAGAGGTTACAACAAGACTTCCTGCACCCCATTCCATGAACGGCCACATTGTTTTTTTCCAACTTTTGACAAACTACAGTTTTATAAAGGACACTGTTTTTATTTCATTCTCTATTTTCTTCCTCTACATTCTAAGACTGGATTTGGGGATTTTTGACCTCTCTTAAGCATTAAGATGAAGGGTCCACACAGTCACCTCTGATAACCCTAAGGTCTGGCTCCTTAGCAGCAGCAGTCAGCTCACAGCCTATCACTTTGTGAACRAAGCAATGACTGCTTCCCCTGCATGCTCATCACTTCAAAACACCTAATAAGCCTGGAGTTGTTCTAAGCAAAATGAGCAATTCCTCCTGAAGAAACTTGATAGCAGCACGACCAGAGTGCTTCAGCAAATATTCCCATGGGAGCTACTAATATACTGAAACAGAGGGAGGAGRAAAGCTTTTTGTAACATTCACCTTTCCCTTCTGAGTGGCTGCTCGTCACAGAATACCATTAGTGTTGCTATAACTTCAATGCCTATACTCTGACAACATTCTGGTTAACAATCAGGTTGCAYCAGCCTGCTTTTTTTTTATTAGAGCTGCAAAACTCCCTATATTTACTAATGAAGTATTTGAAAGATAATTTTTCATTTTGCCCTTTGCTTACAAGCTATGTAAACAGATGCTTTGTTCTCTTTACATGCTTTTTTAAAGCTTCCTCTGAAGAAGCTCCATGCTCATGGACAAATCCATTTATCTGATGGACATATGCATCATAGCAAAGTGTTTGAAAACTTTCAAAAAGGAAGACAATATGCCCAGAAAAGACCAAAGTTGGCACCCAGTGCAAGTCCAGAGACTTTGATACAAATTGAAAACCAAGAATAAAGAGGAACTTGCTCCAGCTTGGCTAGCACACCTGAGAAGAACACATGGTTCTGTCCATTCTTATAACCTCACCAGCCCATGGTTAAGGAGATAAGCCTTAGGATCAAAGCTCTCAGGGTAATAAGACACATTCATACTGTGAGTTTATTCACAGAGCAACACTWAGAGGTGAATCAAACTCATTAATAATCAACACAGGCATTCCCATCAAAAGTCTTACTCCACAGTGTGTATTTCAAGTGATACAGCCCAGAGAATAAAGGACATGACACACAGAACTTCCCCTTTATTTTCCAATAAATTGGCTATTTTATAAAATAAATGAAAATAAAAGAGAAACCCTCTATAAATACCCTGTGTAAGAGAGAATTGTTTCTGTATGTTCCTACTGATGGGCCAGCACCAAGGCAACAATCCCACCTGCTGCACTAGGCCAGATGAAATGCTGAAGCTCCCAATCTATAAGCAGGATGCAGTGTATGTCAATCACATGAATTTTTAAATGTATTAATAGATTTTCTGAGTCATCTAGTTAATATCATGCTGCAATCCTTCCATTCGCATTAAGAGATTATCAGCAATAAAAGGACAGCTCAAATGTCATTTGTCACTTAAAGTCCATTACAACTTTCAAGAAGAAAGTGGCTGTACTTACTAAGGTTATTCTCATGTCTGGAAGAATGTCATAATGACAATAATAACAAAACTGTATTGTTCATATAAACTCCTAGCAAAAGAAAAATTAATAGCTATTATGAGATCATTTTTATGTCCCTTTTTAAACACTCCAARCCTTGTTTGCCTATCAATCTGATAAATATTTCCTACTACAAGTTTTTATAAAGTCTGACATAGCACCCATTAAAAGCTTATTTATGTGGCCACAAAATGATCAGATGAAAAAGAGTCTGCAGTCAATTTAAATAGATGCATAACAAAACAAAACTAAATTACACATACTGGAGGCCTGCCGGGACGGCCCCTTTTTCTTTTTCCTTTGACTTCTGCTTCTTCAAGCTCACTGCCAGCATCTGAATGTGCAGTAGTTTCGTTTGTAGAATCCCTAGGGGGAAAAAACACTAGATAAATTCAAATGATTTGAAATCAACAAGTAATCTGTAATTGACTGATTAAATTCTTAGTCCTRAACCAGAACACTAATAACAAAAAAAGGCAGCATTAAAAGGCTTTCCACATTTATTCTGCAAACCAAGGAACTGAGCATTGTTAGCCCTGGCAAAAAGCCTTACCTTTCATGGGCTGGAATGTCATTTTATTGAAGTTCTTTAAATTAACAGCATCATTTGAAAATACTTCAAAACTGGCTATATTAACCCGCACATGCTCAATTCATCAATCCCACAATGTTTTCACTACTAGCAACTTCCCTTCACTCTTTGTAGCTGCTTCCGAGCTGCTTTCAAGGCCACATGAGCAATGTGGAGTCCAATCCAGCTGTCTCGTCGTTAGAACAGTCACACAAGGTTCCACTCAGCTTATATCATGCTCTCAGTCAGAYTGCAAGACAAGGGCCTTGGGCAGCCATTAATAAAGAGGATTCATGTTGACTGCCAGGCCCAAACCAGAAAACTCCCTTTGATCTGAAGACATTTATAATGTTTGCAGTAAAAAAAAATATTCAATCGTACAATGTAAAAGCCTTCACACTGTTCAACTCCAGTTAGCAGAGAAGCCCAAACAMTCATTTCTCATTTGTTGCTATTTCAGATTTAAGACCATAATAAGCAAGGAAAAATAAATTCCCCCAGTTTTCACCACGCCTTCCAGCCAGATGCACAGGTATTTCTCTGCCTTCCAGACAGACATGGTCAGATTGTAACTGATCTTTTGAGGCATGAGATCTTGCCCAYGAGCAGCTCCCATGCAAACCCATACCTGTAAGTGATGTGCTTTATTTTTACTGTGCAAGACCACCAGTGCACCAGATCTCTGTAAATTTTAATTTACAATTGATAATGTCCTAGATTACTCAAAGCTGGGTCAAGTCGAGTTATAATCATAGACTTCTTTAAATTCAAAATAATTTCCTTAAAGTGAAAGGAGTCCAGTTACTGTACAACCTGTACAAAGGGAACATAAAAACCAAATATATTCCATATTTCACAGAGCCTCAAACACAAAAGGCAGCATTAGTGACCTGTTTTACAGAAACTGGGAAGCTCCAGCAATCTGAGATCTACATAGATCTTCCACATTGTCTGGGGTTTATTTTCTAATCTGCTCTATAGATCAGGAATACTTCACAAATTTGCTGTATCACCACAAAAGCTATTTAAYAATGCAGAAAGATACCATCAGAATGTTCTGATACTCTTGAATGAAATTACTATAATTTACTGTAACGTCTAAGTCTGCTCTCACTCAATGAATTCTGCAGAACTATGATGAATTTCTAATATCAAGACATTGTTTTCCAGTCCTTCTCCATTTGCACAAAAACACCAAGCGGTCCACAGAATCCTTTACAAAAGCCAGAACGCAGAAGAACACMTACCAATCTCTTTTTCTGAAAGTAATTTCAATGGATTATCTCTAAATACTCTACACATCCCAGAAAATCAGGCACCCTAGACTAAAAACCACTATTCAAGTGCATTTGAGTTCACAAATCACATGCTTGTAAATGTTAGTACCTCTACAAAATACTGAAAATGCAGTTTTGTTGTGATACAATTGAAAAGTACCTTTTTCACTTCATAAAATAAGAAATTTGAAAAAGTTAGTATCAAGCTACAAATTTGGAAAACCCCCCAAAACATAAAAACCCTAAAACCAAATAAAAGATATCACACATGGAGTTCAAAATTCTTCAGTAATGCAGTGCCACAYCAGCAAAAAGCAATGCCATAAATACAGCTGAAAACACGTTTACGCAGATGGATGTATCCAGCCTTTACTCAAAGACCTCATCACACTGAACCTCAATTTGACAAAAATACACATTGCCTCACAATGACAATCTAATAAATTTTAAATACAGAAGTAAGGAACGCCATAAAAATATCTGCTGCCTTCTACTGATRGAGAGAAATCCTTACCAGAAAAGTTTCAGGCATGATGTGTCTGTCTAAACAATACCCCCAGTCCTGGGGAAATGCTGTGCACCCCTAGGATCATCAGGTTAAAAATTTCTCTCTATTAAAACCAGATTCAGCAATCCTCCTAAGCAAACAGCTCAAACCMTTCCCTTGAAATACTAGAGCTACATAAATAAATTAAACTGTACTACTACAGAGARACCTCAACTCTGCTACAGCCTCAGTTCATTAGCCTTGGGTGTAGCAAAATCTCCAGAGACCTGTCTATTTAGTTCTGGAAATTTCAATTGTTACCAAACACTGCCTATGGAAAGAGCAGATAAGTTATTAACCACCTTCTATTCTTTGCCTTAAATRGACTGTTGTTTAAACTTGATTCTTTTAATATTTTTATGGTAAAATTTCTCTGGTTTGCTGGAAGCCTCTTCAGCCTTTTCGCTTTTTGGGAAAGGSTCAATAAATCAGTAATAAGGGTGAGATTCATCTAATCTAAATTTGAGACATATGCACTGCAGAACCACAAATCTTAAGGTGCAAGATTTCCTCATGCTAAGGTCAAGTGTCCAAAACAGTCAGACAGTTTAAGTCTTAAAAATTTTGTTTTCTCTCCATTGATGGTAAGGTGTTCAAGACAAGCAGCTCAAATATAAATGTTTCAAATTGAACAAGATGAATCTCACCCTAACAATAAGTGAGGCAGACAGGGGCACTTCTTTCCAGTAAAGAATACCTATAAGGAGCAAGGGTAAAAACATCAAAAACTAGATTCYCTTCAACCTTCACATTATTTGGAGCAGGGAGACAGATCAAGGACAACCTAGAGTACTAAGCTGGTTTCATRTTAAAATAAACCTCATTTCAAGCACTAAGGAATTTGGTCTGAATAATGCAACTCCTACACAAAAAGGCCCTTCCAGTTTGGCCATGAGCCCTTTCAGTTTGGKAGTAGTGCCTCGTGCTTCTGTCCCAGCCTTGCAGTTGCTCTGGGTACACACACATGCCCATTTTCCTCCTATTTCTGAACTCACAGCAGCAATACAGCATCTCCTAACTGCCTGGGGTTCTGTCAGGTTTGTAACACTCACTGAGAGAAGCAGCTGGCCAGCATCCATCTCCCTCATTCCCTACACATCGTGCAGAACTGCTAGGAAGTAATTTATCTGGTGGCAGTTATCCACAACTTTACAGACCAGAATGATGCTATCCTCATTCCATGTGTGTGTGACTAGGCACCTGAGGGGAAAACTTTGGCTTAGTCATAATTTATGCCTCCTGAAGCTGTTGTGAGGAAAGATGATCTGGGCCTAAGGAAACCTGCCTCATTAAAGAAGGGGAGAGGTGGCAGTGCCTAAAGCGAAATTTTTCTTAAGACTCCTTTCACATGACAGGGASATAAGAGAATTTGGTGGGGGGGGACTTACAAAATTGGGGTACGCAGAGCAGAACAGACCAAGTGATAACCCCTTTTTGGGGCTCAGACTTACTCTGCTTTGCTTTCTGGTTTCTGTGGTGCCTAAAGCATCCTAGAGAAGTGACAGCAACTTCCATGTCCCTCCTAAAAACTCCAGATATTATCCCCTAGTTATAAGTGATCCTTGGAACTATCGAACAGTTACTGAAGAATAAACAGATTACTGAGCAGCCCTTTACCAAACCATGCTTCTGAAAAACATGTTGCCATAAATACAGTACATTTCACATCTCTGTAAAACAAATTGAAACATATTTACCTTCTATTGCAACACAAAGCCCTAGCTATAGCGTTTCTATACCATGCTCCTTTAAAAACATACCAGAGCAAAAACCTGTGTTTGTGTATCACGTTTTGTTAAAAAAAAAAACCAAAAAAAACCCCCCACAAATACTTCTATAAGCTTTTATCAGTGCTGCTGAGGTGCTCAACATTCTGGCAGAGATAGATTCCGTACTTGCTACCACCAGATTCAGCCTTGTGAAAAAAAGCATTCATGAAGAAAAACGGCTAAATGCACAGGCTCATGAATCATGGATCAAMCAGTTCTCATGGCTGATCTTCAAAAATCTAAAGAGGAACATGCCTCAGCAAACGTGAGTCATGTCATGAAGAGAACACTCAATAGCTGTCCATCACAGCGGTCAAACACATCAGATGTTTTCTCCAAACATCTGAAACACCAATAAGTAAAATACTGTCTTCACTGTGTTCTAAAGCCACTTACATGAATCTGGAAAGGTTAAAGGTTCTCCTTTCATGTTCCTTCAACAAAGAAGAATTTGACAGGGAATGCATTATATGGTCCTAAGCAATGCATACTAAGGTATCAAATTGGCTTTAGGATTGTTTGTTTAAAGAGAAAGATTAGGAAATGTTACAAAAAAGAAGTAGAAATTAAGCACAGGAATGGGAGATTATCAAAAATTCATTTAAGAGTTAGAAAGAAAACTCAGGCTTTCATTTGTGTCCTCCAAATCCTAAATGTGTGAAATTCATACCACCTAGCCCAAAAATTGCTTTGGCTTTCCTCACCCTTATCGAGCGTTCTTCCTGAGGAAAACCCAGCTGTGACCTTCTGAATTAGCATTTATCACCTCCTTTGGTACTTTATCCACACCATCCAATGTTCTGAGCCCTCAGGAGAGTCCCAAAACCTTTATGTGCATATCATGCTGAGTTTTWTATAAAATGAAAGGCCTCCTCTAGCCAAAAGCAATCAAAACTACACATATTGTTGAAGATGACATCTCACCAACACCTCAGAGTAGCATTAAATGATTCCCAGTTTTACCAGTGAAAACAACATACATGTTTTCTTTTGGTTTTGGATTTACTTAATATTGATGGCTCTGATTCAAGAATACACCAATATCTTTAATGTCCCTCAGGTTTTTCAGCTGGTATGTAGTTACCAAATCCATTCATATGCACKTTTTAACTTTAAACTCTGTGATATTCCATTCACTTTTTAACGCCCTCTGAGTTCTTGAAGTGGGAATATCCCTTTCCTACCACTACCATCACAGAATCTCCTAGCTTTTTGTTCTTGGCATATTCCATAAACAATCCCTCACTTCTGGAATGTGGCAAATCCCGGAAATACAAACCAAGAAAATGTTCTTCCACAACTAATCCCTAAGATAACAAGAACCCCCTCAGGCTGATGCTCCCCCTCAGTGCTGCCCATCAAGGTCATCCCCAGCTTTAGTCTGTACTCATACAAAACTGAATTGTTATTAAAGAGATTATAAAAATACAAGAGAAAACTGTAATGCAAAGCATTTTGTTAATAAGGTCAGAAAAATTTCAGTTGTCCAAACATTCATTTTCTTAAATAACAAGACTTGAAATCTTGGCTTGAAACTCCACTCAACCCTGATAAACTAAGGCTCCTTCACACCCTGAGGTAAAAACGAATTTTAA